TGTTTTAGTGACATGTGGAAAGTCAAGCTCAGCTGCATAGTGCATCAATGTCTTCTTTGTCTTATCTTCAACATCTCTGAATGTCTCATATCTGTTGTCTGCATTGAGTCCACTCTTTAACAGAATCTCCAAAAATCTATTAATCTGCAAGAAAACAAAAAGCCAATGGTAGTTTACTACTTACTGCTAATTTATCACTAAATGCAAATATTATTGTGAGAAAACTGTTCTTTCAAATTGAGGAAAATAGATTTGAAAATTAGCATTTATTTAAAACTCTTGAGCTACAATCTGACTAATGTTCAAGAAAGATAACATGCCGCAGTCAGAGGATTAGTAAACAAGTTCACAAGAGGTGAAGGAGTGATGGAGTGAAAATACCCAAGAAATAGCAAGTAAAATCGGCAGTGTTTCAAAAGCAAAGAAAATCTGATATGCACAAGTCTAGGGTTAGTGGAGTTTACAGGCTAGTGGTTACTGTCCCTCACTAGCCCATTCTTTCTCAGTGACCCGCATTCATCATAGGCATAATGTGCAGGGCATAATGTGTGACAAGTAAAATAACCCTTACTGATTGTCAACACAGAGAAATGTAGTCGCCACTATGGTGACTAAACCAGGATTTTTGTCAAATTTTGGTCGGCATGCAAGGATGAAATGTTAGTTGCACTGGTGACCATATTGGTCACAATTTCGAGCCCTGGGATGGCTTTTAAAATACTATGCCTGTGTTAAGCCTGCAGTCTTGTAAAAGGAAAGGGCCAAATTGGCTAAGTTTTCTTAGGGCCATCTCTGATTGCAACGCGGGATTCTCGCAATGGCATGCTCTGGTGGGAACACTGTTACATGACACTACATACTGTACAACTGCCAATAGGGCTCAAAAGTTCAGCTGACAACTCCAACACATGTTCAGATTTCTTCCAGCTGTGATTTCAGTTTTAAGATTCAATAAAATAAAATAAAATAAAACAAAACAAAACAAAACAAAGCAAAATAAAATAAAATAAAGAGATTCAGCTCCTGATTATACTAGTAGTAATCAAAGATCATGGAGGTGTGCTCTACGCGTTTACTGTAATACAGTAACCTTGAATGATTTCATTAGCTGACTCTTATCTCCTGTCTATTGCTAAAATTGACATTTTTACAGACAGATATACCAGCTGTATATATTTGCCAGTATTTTCCTGTGGTTTTCTGGTTGGCAATAGACTATAAACTATGATTTGTTGACATATTGCGTGACAGCGTGACAGCGTGACAGCGCCAGTTTCCGGGGACTCACAAGTTTAATAGAACTAAAATATTTACATTTGCCTTCAAATTTCATGATAAATATTTTCACATTTACTGGTAATGTTTGAGCATTAAAAGCAAATTTGGAAAAGTATACATATATATTTTACATACATCATTCTAAACTGCTGGAAGAACGAATATTAGCCAACATTTGCAATCGCATGCTTGTTCAGTCGTAAACAAATCTGTGTGCGACTTATTCAAACATTTCTGCTAATGAATAAAAATAGAAAGCATTTACATTGTTGTTCCCTGGTTAAGGCTTACTCCTATAGACCTAAGCTTCAGAGTACTTTTCCATTGATTCCAAACAATATTCTACCAGACACAGACTGAATCATTTGCCACACTGGAACTAATCAACAAATGTAATCAAAATACAGCAAATGAAATAAAGCTGTTCATAGTTAACAACCTAAAGCCAAGGCATTTCAAAGTTGCGATTGTAAACATAATAAATAATTGTCCTAGTCATGTAACAAAAACACGTCATCTCACACCTCAACGATTGGCATTTCGGGGCATACAGACATACGAACAGTCACAAGACAACCAAATTCTTTTAGATCAATGGGTTACCAAATTTTGTAAGGTATGGCGCTCCACTTGCACACCTTCGGTGGGCAGGAGCTCCGCAATAAGGACGTAATTTTATATAATACATACCAGTTGTTCAAGGCCTGGAAGGCGATCTGAATTATGTCGATACTGTTTTAATGCTGGCCACTTTTTTAACATCACAAGAGCAGGGTCTTCACTGGCTAGCTCACCATTGTCTTTGTATTTTTGGATTAGCCTTTCCACTCGCACTTCATCCATGGCTCTGTTCCATGACATTCCTTCACTTCTCTTTTGTCGAACCTAAAAATTTTATGTTAGTGTGTCCACATGTTTTTGACAAGACAAAACTATGACATTTTTCTACCTTATCAGTTTCCAATTTTTATTTTCTTCTGACTCATTATATCCATTCAAGTGTCACACATCAACCAGGGAGAACTTTATTTTGTTTTGTTCATCCTAAACATTTGTCTACATGTTAGGCTGTTGTGTTCAAGAGAATACAAAGAAAAACTGAAGAAATACTTTTAGTTTTAACAAATGGTAAACGCCATAGTATACACTATCGAGTTACGGATGCACGCAGGAGGTTGCTGTGCACGAAAGAAGCGTAAGAGTCGCTTGAAGCGATAGCCAAATGCGACTCTAACTTTTTGAGTGCTTAGCAAACCTCCAAAGTGCATCCATAACTCAGTAGTGTACAGCTGAGCATTTACCAGTTGTTTTTATAACATAACATTGACACATTGAAGCAAAAGAAGTACTTTTATTGAGGTACATCACATAAGTACAAACTTCAGCAGCATACACTCATGGGCAAATAGTAGACAATGAATAAACCAATCAGAGCACGCACTTTGCTTTAGTTATGTTATTACTTTCATAGTACCGTGGGTACTGGGAAATGTTACCTAATAACAACTTATGTCTGTATTTTATTAAATAATCAAATTATAATTTACCTCATATCAATATCGCAAACTCGCTATTCAAATTCGTAAAAAAATTATTAAAGAAATCATAAAAGATTGATACCTTAATCCAGAACTCTGGGTCAAATTCATCTTCCAGGCCATCAGCTTGATGATCAGCTGGCTCTTCCTCCCAACTCTCATTTCCTTCAATCCGCTTGAGCAGCTCCTGTTCTTTTCTCTTCATACCTTAATCTTTTAACTCTGTAGCTTGAGGATGCAAATAAACTTATTCATGCGCTGAAAGCAGCCTTTAAACCGGCCTTTTAGCTTTCCAGAAGGCCGTGCTCAAAACGTATAAATGGCATCAAACCGAATTACTTAACAAGGCATTTCCCCTTAACCGTAGCCATATTTACTCCATGAAGGTAGAATAATTAGTTAACCAGCTCTGCATAGTACTAATCTTTGCAAAACACACAACGGAAGCTTGACAGCACGACCTACTCTGACCTAAATACATGAACAACTGCACTCAAAGTTTACAAACATTGACGTCACTTCAGGGTATGCGCGTTTGTCTGGTTGGCCCCTTCTCGACCCCAGAGCCTCCGTTTATTTTGGTCACGTGGTCAGCGTAGACGAGTAGCACTGGGGATGAGAATGAAAGATACCACTTAAAACGAAATAGGTTCAATGACAACCCACTGTTTAACAAAGGATCCCGCGCACATTTGTAGACGACTCGCCTACCCGAGAGATCAGCGGAAATCAAGCCTAAAAACACAAATTAAGTGAGAATGTTTCTTTTATTATTATTTCTTCGAGTGCACCCTAAAGGATACTTTGACAGCTAAAAATGGTGACGGTTCGTCATCAACACCCTAATGCATCAGTCAATTCCAGCAGTGCCCATCCCCCCCCCCCCCCCCCCCCCCCCCCC